TTTTATATATCATATATAAAGATATGTATAAGGTTTAGGCATGAAACTACAATATTGTCACATATTGATACTCACATATGTAGTTGTGCTAGTTTCCTAGGGCTGCACCACAGACTGGGTGCCTTAAACAACACAAATATATTGTCTCACCATTCTGGAGGCTAGATGCCTGAAATCAAGGTTTGGCAGCAGAATGGTTCCTCTGAAACCTGAACGCGGAGGATTCTTACTTGCCTCTTCCAACTCCTCGTAGCCCCAGATGTTCCTTGCTGTGTGGCAGGATAACTCCAATCTTCACATGATCTCCCTGTGTCTCTTCATACCGCCCCCTCTCTGTGTGTCTGTGTCCAAATCTCCCTTTTTCTTAAGGACACTAGTCACACTGGATTAGGTCCCATTGCAATGACCTCATTTTGGCTTGATCACCTCTGCAAAGACCCTAGTTACCAGTCAGGTCATATTCCGAGGCACTCGGGGCTAGGACTTCAACATACTTTTTTGGGGGAGACACAATTCATTTCATAGCAGTGGTCAAAGTATGAACAACGTCCTGTAAAGCCACACACCAACTGATGAGAGTGGTAGCTTCCAGACAGGGAACGGCAGGGAAACTGGTCAAGACTGGGTTAGGGAGAGGCATGAGAGAGGTTTACCAGTAATGTATTTCCTGGGTAAAATAAATGCAAGTCTGGAATTAATATGAAAAAAGATTAGTATTTGCTAATGTTTGTTCTTGTATTCTTTATGCTTCACTGTTGTCTAATATTTCTTTTACATTATTAAGAAAGAAGAAACCAAGGAGGCATTTGAGCTACCGTTTTCCACTTGGAAGTGTACCTGACTGGGCTGTACGGTGTGAGACCGTCTTATATGGCAGTCAAAGTCCTCTGTCTTCTGATTTTCAGGACGATAGGCTGTGCCTGCAGTCATCAACTTGGAATATTCAGACTTCAGACCAGCGTCAGAGATTATAACCTCCTGTAAATCATCTGCAGCCCAGCTCCTATCAACAGCCAGCCTGGGAGAAAACACAAGGAATGTGACTCCAGCCGTTCCCAACCGCACCTGAAGACCAAGCTGGTTTGTGCAAAGTTTGCATCTGTTTGGGACACAGAAAAATAAGGGCAAAAAAGTACATTTTCATAAAACTAAATGCATTCAATTAAATGAACTGCCCTTTTTAAATTAAATTTTATTTTATTTATTTATTTATTTTTTTGAGACACAGTCTCGCTCTGTCACTGGATTAGAGTGCAGTGGTATCCTAATAGCTCACAGCAACCTCAAACTCCTGGGCTCAATTGTTCCTCCTGCCTCAGCTTCCCTAGTAGCTGAGACAACAGGTGCAAGCTACCACACTCAGGTGCAAGCCGCCACGCCCAGCTAATCTTTTTGTTTTTTGTAGACATAGGGTCTTGCTGTGTTGCCCAGGATGGTCTTGAAGGGCCCAGGGCCTCAAGTGATCCTCCCACCTTGGCCTTCCAAAGTGCTGGGATTACAGGTGTGAGGCACCATGCCCAGCCCTGCCCTTCCTTTTGAGATCAGGTTTCTCTCTCTTTTTAAAAAAATATCCATAAAATGTTTTATGCAATAATGGTGATAGTCGACTATGCCGGCTATCATTGTTTTTAATGTCCTTATTTGGCAAAATAAAATGTTGATGACTCTAGATTCTTTCCTTCTCCCCCTCCATACAAAAACAATTGTAAAATATTTGGTTTATCTATTTTAACTCAAATTGATGATGGTTCATTGGAACTAGTTAAGAGTTCCTGTAGAATCACTTTTATAGTCTTGTCTGTGGGTCTTAAATGTGTATCTTTTATCATTTATGGGACTGTTGCTAGCACAGAGAAATTTGATTTCATTTAGGTTGAAAGGTCAACCTTGTTACGTGTTGACACAACAAAAAGTTCACCCCTTTAGAAGATAAAAATGTACAGCCTAAACGAGAAGTTGTGCCCTCTCTTTGCCTTTTATGGGACAACTTCCTGCATTGGTGCTGGTCAGGTTTGGTGTTTTACAAGGCTCTTTTCTCGTTCCTGTCTTTCAGATAATAAATGGCTTGAATTAGCAAAATTAACTTTTGGACAGTTCGCAGTCTGCATGTCTGGCCCTGGGGCAGGCGATGGGAAAAGGAGATTAGACACAAGAATCATAGCTGGCCACCCTCTGCCTGCACACATAGATCTAAAATGTCCCTTTGTGACAGCTCCATGATACTCCATAGTGCAGATGTCTTGTGACAAATTCAGCCCATCCCAGGTTTTTGGAAATTTCCATTTGTTTGTCAGTACACAAATCTTGGCCTGACAACCCTTAGTGACTCTGGCCGAGTCCGTATGTTTTGTGAGATCACCTTGGTGCCGAACAGAGCTTGTTGCCTTGGCTTACGTTAGCTTGAGGCTGGGAGGACTAAGGAGCAGCAGAGAAGCCAGATATATAGGCTGAGTGTGACTTCATCCATCTTCTAGGGTGTAGTTTATCCCCTGAAGATTCCTGTATTAGTTGAATGACAAAGACAAGATAGTTACGATGACCCATTCAAACCAGGGGGCCTTGCAACATCAAATAAGGAGTCCTGATTAACAGCCTTAGAAGATATATCATTGCTCGGGAATGTGATTGAAAATCATTGACACAGTGAAGTGAGAAACCCTAAATGGGATATCAAAAGGAGAACTTAAATAGTTCAATAGCCCTTATTGAGGAGGTAGAAAAATAAAACCTAAAAAAAAAAAAGGGTACCCACTTTGTGCTTTTTTTCCAAGGTACCAAGCAAAATTATCATTTTTTTGAACAGCTGGATATTTCATTTGCTCCTCTAATAGTTAACAGGAAGCTAGCAGTAAGCTTCTCAGAAGGCCACTCCTTCTTCGTTTGACATCAATACGAGACTATTTCCTTGTGGTCACTTCCTTCTCGCTTTCCCAATCCTTTGCTGTGGGCTTGGCTTTTTGTTTGTTTAGGAATCTGTTCCAGTGCAGATGGTACTGTTAGAGCACCCTCTGCACCCAGATGTGAAGAAGACATGCCATTTGACACAAGCTCCTGTCAAATGACGAGAGAACAGAGACCTGTATCAACAGACTTGAAGTTCATTGTTAGCTGATCACATATAACATCTATCCATCCATCTACCTATCAATCTATCTATATATCCTATATGTATATATATCTGAGTACATATATACATACATTGTATGTATATAGACACACACACATATGTGTAACATATTTTATATATATATGTGTGTGTGTGTGTGTGTGTGTGTGTGTGTATGTATATAAATCTGTCAAAGATTCAAAACGAAGACCAAAATGATTTGTATCAGTTAGGCTAAGCTAAGGTCTGTTGTATCAAAATAAACTCACTCAAAATCTCCATGGCCTAACAGATGAAAGTTTATTTCTTGCTCATGAAAAGCTACTGTGGGTTGGTTGGGGCGGGGGTGGAATGTGCTGCATATACCCAGGCTGGTGAACTGGCCCCCATCTGGAATGTCACTGGTTGCCATGACAGGGGAAAAGGGAGCAGAAAGTTTGTGTATCTTGTTTTCTTTCTTTTTTTTTTTTGCTTTTCTTTTCTTTCTTTCTTTTTTTTTTTTAGAGACGGGGTCTTGCTATGTTGCCCAGGCTGAAGCACAGTGTCTCTTTATAGGTGCGATCATAGCTCACTGCAGCCTCGAACTTCCAGGCTCAAGCGATCCTCCCACCTTAGCTTCCCGAGTTGCTGGGACTACAGGGATGCCTGGCCTTTTTTTTTTTTTCCTAGCTTTGGCTTGGAAGTCATTTACACTCACAGCCTATTGGCCAGAAGTGGCTGTATCTATTGCCTTACTGCATCTCCTCGTAGTGACCTGGAGGGGACTCCAGAGTTTCTTCCTGACTACTCCTGCAGCTTGTCCTGGAGTTGTTAGAGCTTCTGAGTGTTTTGTTTGCTGGCAACCCTGAGCCCTGGCTTCATTTTGCTGTTATCTGATACCTTTAGAAGGGTTTTCATGATAAATTCTTTTCAGAAATTGATCCTGAGAAAAAGTGTGGCCCTCTTAAAACACAGATACACTTCCTTTTTCTTTCCCCCACACCCTCCCCACCCCAAATAGTGACTATTAGATAATGTGTCATGATTCCCTTTTAGTCTGGGCTAATAAGCAGTTCAGGGCAAATTTTATTTCTCAGTTATGTTACTGTGTCAGCCTAGGAATTTTGTACGATTGCTCCTTCCTCCACTTGATTATAAGACATTTCCTCTTTTCTTTCCTTCCTTCCTGTCTTCTTCTTCTTCTTCTTTTTTTTTTTTTGAGACAGAGTTTCGGCTCTGTTACCCAGGTTGGAGTGCCGTGGCATCATCATAGCTCACAGCAGCCTCAAACTCCTGGGCTCAAGTGATTCTCCTGCCTCAGCCTCCCAAGTAGCTGGGACCACAGGCACGATCCTACTGCCTCAGCCTCCCAAGTAGCTGGGACCACAGGCACATGACACCACACCTGGCTAATTTTTTCTATTGTTAGTAGAGACGGGGGTCTCACTCTTGCTCAGGCTGGTCTCGAACTCCTGACCTCAAGCCATCCTCCCACCTCAGCCTCCCAGAGTGCTAGGATTACAGGTATGAGCCACCATGCCTGGGTTATGTGCCCATTCCTCAGCCAAACCCTGTGGCTGGGGGAATGGTGAACACTGATTGGCCAGGCCTGAGTCATGTGACCATTGGGAGTGGGTCCGGAATGCAATCAGCCCTTCGTGGGTCTCCTGGACAGAAAGCAGGGGAGGGAAAAGATGCCCAGAGGAAAATCAGGGCATTGATGCCAAAAAAGGGGAAACGGCTAACAGGCAAGCAAAAACAACAGATATCTAGCACACTTAGAAATTAAAATCCTATCACTTCTGATTTGAAAGTCTGCTGTGTGTCTATAGATTAGAGCTAACAGAACTCATAAAATCATATTTTCAAACCAGAAGGGATCATAGCAATCGTCTCCCTACCTAAGTCCTCTAGTTCCCATTAACTATTCTTCCTTTGTGTACTCATACTATTAATAATTTATGCTTTGAGCCCTAGAACCTCATGCGCAACCAAAATGCTCAAAAAGTCCTTGTCCATTTCAATCCTTTAGTTCATCGCTCCCCCTCCACTCTCCAACTGAGGGAGTGTATTGTTCAAGATGTAAGTTTGACTGCATGCATCAAAGACCCAAACAACATTGGTTCAAACAAGATAAAAGTTTATCTCCCTCTCCCATAATAGTCAGAGCTGATATGATGTCTCTGCTCGGTGAAATCAACAGCAACCCATCTCCTCCCATCTGTTGTACAACTATCCCCAAGGTGGGTGCTGCCTTCTTATGCATGGCCCAAGATGGGGCACCATCATTTCCACATTCCAGCCCACAGGAAGTAAGAAGACTGAGGTAGGGAGGGATAGCCCCTTTCCTTTAACAGCACAACCTAGAGGTTGTATGCAGCGCTTCTGCTCACATCCTTTGACCACTCTAATGTCTACACCTAGCTGCAAGAGAGGCTGTGAAATACAGTCTTTATTCCGGGCAGCTGTGTACGTAACTGTGAAAGAAAGGAGAACAGACAATGGAAGGTAACCAGCAATCTCTACAGGGAAGAAAGGGGGAAAAATCTGACTTTTTCCTTTCTTTCTGTTTTTCAGGCATTAAAAAAATATTTCTGTGTAACTGCAAATGCAGGAATGTTTTAACACTGGGGTGAAGAATCTGTACTTGGACCAGCATGTCTGCGTACTATAAGAATAACAGGAGTGAGGAAGATCAAGGTTACCATGACTATTCAGAGTCTGAGGATTATCCAGATTTTCCAGCTCCTCTGAACAATCCAGATGACCCCAGAACCAGGAGAAATCCATACTCTGCAGGCTCCAGAGTGAGTCCAGACTATCCTGTGTCTCTGGCAGAGCCAGATTATCCTGGATCTCTGAGTAATCCAGACCATCCTAGCACCATGAACCATCCATTCTCTGCAACCTCTAGAATCAGTCCAGACTACCGCAGATCTGTAGCAGAGCCAGATTATATTGAATTGCAGAGGAATCCATACCACCCAAGCTCATCCAGACAGCCAGACTCCTCTCAATTTCAACAAAATCCTGATGTTGCATATTCTAGAAGCAGTGGAAACCATGCAGACTCCAGAACGAATCCAGATTATTTTGGCTCCTTACCAGAACCAGACTACCCTGGAACTCAGAGCAACTCTAACCATCCTGGCTCCAGAACCAATTCAACCCATTCAGGCTCCAGAAGGAGTATAGAATATGCTGGTTCCAGAATCAATCCATACACAGATTCTCTGGGAGAGCCTGATTATCCAGGTGCCAAAAATCAACATAACTCTTCACACTTTTGGGGGGAACCAGACTATCCCGGTGCTAAGGACTATCAGAACTCTCCAGACATTTGGGGAGAACCTGATTATCCAGATGCTGAGAATGGTCATGATTATGGCTCTTCTGAGGCCCCAGAAATGACCAGGGGGTAAGTTCAGGTATATCCCTTCACCAGGAGTGGGAGCTGAGTGCCAAATCATCAAGTCAATGGAATTTGGTTGGCACAGTTTAGATTAGGGCCACGTCTGATGGTTTCCATGACCTGATCTCATACCCTACCTGTATGAGTTTCACTATAACTCAGCCCAAGGCTTAAAGTCCTTACCTGAACTTAATCTTTCATCACCTCTTGCTTGGATCATCTTACCATTCTCCCATTTCTTCCTAAACCAATCCCTGTAAGATATCTAGATTCCCACTGGGTTTTTTTTTGTTTGTTTTTTTGGTGGGGTGGGGAGAGATGGGGGTCTCACTATGTTGCCCAGGCTGGTCTCGAACTCCTGGACTCAAGCAATCCTTCCGCCTGAGGCTCCCAAAGTGCTGGTATTATAGGCTTGAGCCACTGCGCCCAGCCCCACTGGTTTGACTTGTGCTACATTGCCAGTGGGGTAAGGATTATCACTTGATAGTCATGAATCCAAACATTTTAACCAGAATTACATCAACAGCAACGAGTTTTTATCAAGAAAATCTTTTGAAGGTCTAACTTCATGAAATCAATTTAATTTCTCAATTAGTTTTTTATACAAGATGTTTGCACCACTTCTGATTTTTCCACTTTCATTTTTACTGTACTGAAATTTTTGTTGCCAGAATTGATTTATTTTTCATAAATACCTTATTGCAGATTTGATTCATTGATCTTCTGCATCGTTATTTTCCTCAAATCTTACTGATTATAGTTTTTCCCATTGGCAGTATACTTTTAAGGCCATTTTTAAACATTAAGTTGAATTTTTCCTGGTTCAGATGCTATGGATTTTGTTTAAATTTTGTCCAAAAGATTTTGATCTTCTGTCAATTTTTGGTCCTTGACAAATTTTACCAGGCACAATTCTGGACATCGATGGCATTAGTTTGGGTGGCTTAGGTCTATCAAATCTAATTTTTCCTGTGTTAAGTTTGTCTATGTTGCAACAAGATGTGATTCTTATGTCAGTTTTTATTTTAATCTGTAACAAATTTTACCATGTGAAATTTTAACCAATGTGAGTCTTATTTTGCAATGACTATTTCTGCTAGTAATAATTAGGAACTTGATAAAAACTGATGGCTTGTACTTATCTCTAGAAACAAGGATATAGGATTTGGGTGTGCAGTAGTCAAAATACCTTTAGGACCTAAATAGCATGGTTAACAGGACCAGGTCAAAAATGTCCTCCTCTGGTCCGATAGTTGCAGGTTATCAGAACTTATTAACACTAGTGTCACTAAAGTTGGTATACAACCACCCACTGCCAAATTTGACTGGGAAAAAAATATCTTCCTTGGTCTTGTCTCCCACTGCCTGATTCATCATTCCAAAACACACCTTTGATCCTGTCACTCCTCTGCTTTTCATCTTAACCTCTGGGAGAAAGGCCACGCCGCTTCACGTGTAGAGCATTTATGAATGAGGGTACACTGTGCTAAGGTAAGCTGCCAGCCAAAGACATGCCTGATTGACCTCCTCCTGTCTCTCCTATCCCCTTCCTGCCTTGACCCTATACTCTAGATCAGTGGTTCTTGACCTGGGCTGATCCTTAGAATTACTTGGTTACCTGGGAAACTTTAAAAATAAAACAGATTTCCTGAGCCCAACCCTTCAGAACTTCTGATTTAATTGTCTGGGACAGGGCTTGGGAATTGGTATACACTATATATATTAAGTCAAGAACCATTGCTCTAGGTTAATTGATTTTCATAACATTTCCTTTATATATTCAGCTCTGGCCTTACACCTTTGTTTATGCTGTTTTTTATCCTTGGAATCCTCTCTCCGTAACTGTGTGAACGTATCCTTCCAGTCTTACTTGGTTGTCTCTTTCCCATGTAGATTCCCCCCCCACAACTCTCAGTCAGGATTCTCTCCTTCCTGTGAGCTCCTTGGGCCTGTCTTCTGATCTTCACCTGTTTCCACCTGTGTTATAATTGCTCACAGCTGTGTCTAGGAAGCTGTACTGGATTGTACCAGGAGCTTCTCAAGGGCAGATACCCCATGTCTTCACCTTTGTGTCCTCACCCCCTAGCCCATGCCTAACACATGGTTGGCATTGAGTCAGCATTTGAGGAATGGATGGGTGGGAAGATGGATGGATGGATGGATGGATGGATGGGGTGGATAAATGGATGGATAGATGGATGGATAAATGGATGGATGGGGTATATAAATGGATAGATGGATGGATAAATGCATGGATGGGTGGATGGATGGATAGATGGATAGATGGATGGATAAATGAATGGATGGGTGGATGGATGGATAGATGGATGGATAAATGGATGAATGACTGTCCTTACCACACTATTGGCTGGATAGTGATCCATCATTTTTGGATTTTAGGGTGCTCAGCAGAACATCTTCAGTCCAGTCCATGTTTCACCACAGGATTGATGGCCCCTTGGTCATCCATAGGAGAGAGAATGAAGATTACCCAGAAAACATAGAAATGACATCCATGGAGATGACAGATTCATATGGGCACTCTCTGCCAGGTGCTCCTAGAAAAGGCTATGGTAAGCATTTGCCATGTGAGGATCACAGCCTGGGAGGTAAACTCCATGGACTTAAGGGTGTCATCATAAGGAGTCATCACAGCAGAACTAGTGCATCCTTCCCCCGCAAACACACCATCCTTAGATACAGGAGTTGAGAACTCAGTGTCTAGAGAAGCCAATTGTCATCACTTATCAAAGAAGTCCAGGTAAGAGGTGTGGGAAATGGGGACCTCTGTGTCCCGTGCCTACTTGAGGTAGCTGAAGTTCAGTCTGGCCCAGTCTGCTCATGTGGGAATGTGGGCTCAGTGTGGCGAGATCCTCAGATTTTTCAAAAGAAGGTAGATATTTGGTTTTTTACATGAAACCTCCTGATGTCTACATGCTCCAAAATAATTTTCACAAATTAAAAACACTGAGCTGGGCAAACAAAATGACTTTGTGGAGTGCCAGCAGCCACCTTCAGTTTAGCATGTTCTAAAGGTGTCCAGAGGATCAGCGTTTGTGTGTTCAGAACTTCCTGGAAGACAAAGAGGGTAAGAGGCAGCTCTGTCCTGAGGTTGCTTAGAGCCTAAATAGGTAAACCAAAGTGGCACATCAAGACTAAAGGAAATTAGCAAGCAGACTGTTAATATTTGAAACATCATGTTGTCCTCCTAATCTGTTGTGGGGAAAGGTAAGATGCTTAGCTCCAGGAATCAAAGGAAATTCTAAACAGTTCTTACCTTTCAGGAGGAAAAAAGGGACTTGTTGCCTCATAGGGGAAGCCAGTTCATTGTACAAGAGAAAAAAATCCAGGCAATGTTATAGGAATTTAGAGGCTGTGAAGGGGAAAAAGAGAGGGAGTGTTGGGCCAAGAAGAGAACAAGGGGTCCAGGTGCTGGAGGTGCCAGTGGAGGACTGAACAGCCTTGCGGTGGTGCATGGGGAAGGTGTTGAAGAAGGCAGAGAAGAGTGGACAGGATGTAGTGCCAGGTGCTAACGAAAGGCACTGACGGTTGCACATCTGCATAGAAAATACTCATCTGGGAGCCCAGACATCAGCTGTTCAGCCCAGGGCTATTCCAGACCTTTATTCCATGCCTTCCTCAATAGGGTGCAACAGCAATCCCAAAGGAAGCAAATTTGTTCTTGCAAGGCCAGAAAAAAATCTTACTCTTTATGTATAAAGCACAGATACACATATAGTACATAAACAGATACACAGTCTATCTGTGGTATTGGAATTTCTTGGAGGAGGGCAATGATGAAAAAAATGTCTAAAAAGACCCTATAGGGCAGGGGTCCCAAATCTATGGTGAGCTGCATAATTATTTCATTATATAATACAATGTCACAATAATAGAAATAAATTGCACAATACATGTAATATGCTTGAACCATCCTGAAACCATCCCCCACCTCCCCAGTCCATGGAAAAATTGTCTTCCATGAAAACAGTCCCTGGTGCCAAAAAGGTTGGGGACCACTGCTGTAGAGGACTGATAATGAAAAAAGATTGAGAGACACTGACCTACCCTAATGCTAGCGGAACTAATAATGCCAAGCATGTCTGGAGTGTTTCCTATGCCCTGGGGACTGCCAAGCACTTTGCTTTCATTATCTTGTTCAAGATGGACAATCACCTTTCAGGCAGGCACAACTGTTCTCCTTAATTTAACAAATGGGAAAACAGGCTCAGAAGGAAACGTGCCCAAGGTCACCCAACTACTAAATCAACAGAGCCAGGATCGAATCCAGTCTCTCTGACCCAAGGCCAGACCTCTTTTGCCCTGTGTTACTACTGGGTCAAATCAGGGCAAAGACAAACAGATTCCTGACCATCAGGCTCTGTAAAACACTGGAAATGAAAATGCTTTGGGGGAAAAAAAAGCGGTTGAGTTCCTCCTCTGGGCTCCTTTGCAGGACAAAGGTTGTAGCCCTTGGCAATCACTTGTCCCATGTCACCCTATCCTGATAAACTATTCACTCCTTAAGAAGAATCTGTGTTCATCTATGTATCCTCCAAGGCTCTAGGTGATCTTCCTAGTGTCACAGTGCCTTGCACAGAGTAGGCACTTGAGAAATGCTAACAGAATTAACATCAATGGCTATCAGAGTTGTATTAGTTAGTGGTTGCCACAGGAGTGCTGCATAACAAACAAGTCCCTGAACCCAGACTCATGCAATAAACAAGCATTTATTTTTCACTTACACATCTGCAGGATTGGTTGGGGCTTGGCTGAACGAGGCTGAATTTGGCTGTCTTGGCTCCTGGTCATGAGTTCTGTTTAGGTCTAGCGCCCTTCTTCTTAGACCAGTGAGCTACCTACAACATTTTCTTCCTGTGGCATGAGCTAGAAGTAGCAAGCAGAAACACACAATGTCTTTAAAAGCCTTGGCTTGGAACAGGCACACGGTCACTTCTGCCATACTCCATTGGTAAAAGCAAGTCACATGACCAAGCCCAACATCAACAGAGGTGGCCAAGGTGGCGGAAGTGTAATGTTTGCTGAATAACAATCAGCCTACCACAACAGTTAATATTTATTAAGAGTTTACTATGTGCCAGGACTATAGAATCGCTTTGCAAATATTAACTGATTCAACTTCCCCAACAAGCCTATGTGAAGTTCCTATTATTATTCCTATTTTAGAGATCAAGATATCGAAGCTCAGAGATGTTAAGTAACATGTCTGGGGGCACACAGCTAGTAAGTAACAGGACTAGGAATCATTCCCAGGCAAGAAGTTCCAGAACTTCCTGCAGTGTAATTTTGTGTACGGTCCCCATCAAAATGTGGTCCATTTTCTCTGTTGAGAAGTTTATGTTTAATGTTCACCACGGGTTGAATAAAAATATATAGAAATGTGACACTGTTGTGTTAATGCCGAGAGTAGACTGTATGCCCAAGGAAATTATGCCACGTTTCAAATTTATTTATGTGTCATCATAATATGCCAGAGCTGGAAGGAACCTCTGTATTCCTAGACAAGTATTTTTTGAACTCTGAGTTTAACTCATTAACAAGTTGTGAAATTAATTTTTAAAATGGAAAGAGTGGAATAGAGTAAAAGTATATAATGGTCCAGTTTATGTAGTCAAGCAAAGTATTGTTTTGTCAAACTTATTTTTCAGTTCTGTATGTATAGGTGTGTCCCAGATCTCAATGTAATGATTATTTTTAACTATGGCTTATCATCAAATGAAAACCCTTGACCTAGGCCGATTATATTTAACAGCATCGTTTTTGTATTTTTGTCCTATTTTCCACCCAAGTTCTTTTTTTTTTTTTAGAACAACTCATGACATGTAACCCAAGTTCTTAATTATTGGTCTGTTAGAACATCACAGACAAGGTCTCAGTCTTCCTGCCTATTACTGACCATAATTGACACATTGTAACTATTGCACGCTCAGTAACATCTAGTGTGGTGAGATTAACTGGCAACGTCTCCCTCCTCTTCCTTCCAGTGAACCCTGCTTACGTAGGTGAAAGTAGTCCTGTCTGTGCTTTTGAAAACCTGATGTTGTCTGAATGTGATTGGCACAAGTCACCCGAAGGTAAGGCTTAATAGACAGTGACCAAAAAGTCAAGGCTGGAGAAGGAACGAGTTCAAGGCAACAGATACTGCTATGTCCTCTTGGCCTCTGGTGCCGTCACTGGTACAGCACTTGCTTAATTTATCACAATGGAGTTTTCTTTCAGACATATAGTTTTTTTCTCTTCTGGGTATCAGGGTGTCTTCGTTAGGAATCTTCTGGTTGTAAGTGACAGAAACCCAACTCAGATGGGCACTGGCCCAAGGAGAACTTACTGGCTCACACTGGGGGAAGTGTATGGGGGAAACTTAAAGAACTAAAAGTAGAAATACCTTCCAGCACCTAGTACAGTGCCTGGCACGTAGTAGGTATTTTAGAGATATTCGTTGGCTTAATTTGTTGAATGAGTTACAGAAGCCAGTGCCACACGGACTCTCCTATTCTCCACCCATTTCTCATCTTTGCTTGATTCAGCTTCTCTGAAACCTTGACCTTGTTCATCTCCGTCGGAGTCAGGCCTTGTCCGCAGGCCCCCACACGCCCTCAGCTTGGCTACCTCATTAGGAAGGCTTTCTTTCTCCCTGGGTCTGTCCGTCAACATTGGGGAAGGACTCTGACCGGCCCTCCTTGGAGCATGCGCCCACACTTGGACCTATCATTTTTACCACAGGGGACAGGACTGGGTCACCTGTCTGTGTTGGTAGGGATGACGTGCATTGATCACAATTTTTCTCAATAATCATACAATTATTATGATGGTACAGTGTGGAAGCAATCAGACTGGTGGAAGACGGAAGGCTTTGAAACCGGTTAGGAAGCTAAGTATCGCTGTGTGCAGCGGAGGCAGAGACTGAGACATGAAAAGGAAGCAACAGAGGAGAGAGCCAGGGAATGCTGGGGCCAAAAGCAAGTCTGTGAACAACAAGGAATAAACCGATGGGGTCCTCTATGCAATAATGCACACTGAGGGACCCCATGACTTAAAATTCTCTCTCTCTTCCCATCCCCAGAGCCAGTGGGATAACCATTAGCCCCATCCTTCAAGAGCCCTCTCAAGGAGGCATTTAGCTTTCCTGAGAGTTAGATGTTGCTACTTGGGAGAGAAAACCATGGGGATATAAATGATCGCACTCTCCATTTGGTTCCCACTGGTGCAGAGAATGGCTTTAACTGTTGGGGAGAAGAAAAGCCTTGAAACTTCATAAGACTACTCTGTCTGGCCAACCCGAAGCTTGGGGATTGTATGGAAAACACACACACACACACACACACACACACACACACACACACACACACACACATTATTTTTTCTATTCTTTTATTCAACAACAATCAACACAGAAGACTTCTGTGACCCAGTGTGTGGAGGTTTCTCCCCAGACAGCGAGCAAGCAATCAATTCTGCAGCGGACACTGGCTGGGCATGCTCCAGTTCAATTCTGACACTCCCCGGAGACCGTGTCATGTCCCACAGGGAGAGGGCTCAGTCCCAGAAGACTGCCCCCAGCTTCAGACACCAGTTGAAAGGCCTCTGGAACTTCTGACCAACTGGCGTCAAGTTAAGGTTCCCATGAGTCCCTCCTTGAGTTCAATTAATTTGCTAGAGCAGCTCACAGAACTCAGGAAAAAAACACATTTACTGGTTTATTATAAAGGGTGTCACAAAGGATACAGTTGCAGAGGTGCATAGAGTGAGGTATGGGGAAGGGGTGCAGAGCTTCCATGCCCTAGAAATAGAGGACCCAGAGATGAACCTGGCTGTCTTCACTGTTTTGCTTTGTGTTAGTTTTGATTCTCAAGCTACGTGCAATTAATGGACAGACAGCGTCATGATAAAATGTATTAATAGCTTTGATTGATTATATTGTGCACCTAGGAAGCACCTGGCACATAGTAGGCACTCATAAATATTCATGGATGAATGAATGGATGGATGATACATCAGCATCTTGTTACAGGAAAAGGCCAGGGTGAAGTGATTAAGAGCTCTTGCTTTGGGTTCAGATCAACCTGGGCTTGACTCCAGCTCAACTACTTGCTGGTCTTGTGACCTTAGGAAAATTACCTTGTTGAGACTCAGTTTTCTTAGCTATCAAAAGAGTTGATGATAGCACCTACTTCATAAGGTGATTGTGAAAGTCAAATGATGTACTCTATTTAAAGTACTTGGCCTGTAGCAGTGGCAGGAATTGTTACCATTCATTATCGTTGCTGGGAGAAGGAGTACTTGAGTTCTAGCCCAATCCTGCCATTTAGTGAGAATGCGAGGGGGAGGGTGGTTCAGTTCATCTCTCTGCACCTCGATTTCTCCAACTATTCAATAAATAACTTGGCCGAGGTGATTTTGAAATCAGATCTACTGGATAGGAATTGTGTTCAATAGAACAGTGGCTTAGCAATAAAGGGGTTTATGCTTCTCATGTCACAGGAAGTGTGGAGGGAGTCCACAGTTTGTATAGCAGCTCCAGCCATGATGCCCCCAAGGAGCCACGATGAAGCTCCTTCTATAGCTTCTTCCTCCACTGTCCTTAGCAGGTGAATGTCCATCCCCTTGTTTTCAAAATGGCTGTGTCCAGGCACAAAGGAGGAGAAATGTTGAAGGGCAAACTGTCACCTTTTAAAGAGCATTCCTGGAAACCACATGTCTCATTGGCTAAAACTGAGCGAAGGATCCACCCGTAACCACAAAGGAAGCTGGGAGAATTTTAACTGAGCATGGTGTCCACCCAGGAAATGAAGCTTCTGCTGGTATTAATATGAAAAAAAAGGAGAATAGATACTGGAGGCAGACAATGGTGGTGTCCACCCGCCAAGACAGGCAGGAGATGATAACTGTATCATTATAAACCCTTCGGGATTCATATAGGCATGTAAAAATTATACATATAAAATATAAGTCTAGGCCAGTGGCACTCAATTAAAGAGAAAATCTTGCCCTTTGATTATGAGTCATTTTGAAGAATCTCTTCTTTCTGTTTCTAGAATCTCATTGTCTTAAATGGAGATTCTGTTTCTGATTTCTTGCCTAGCTACCAAGACAGAATTCTCTGCAGAAAAACACACCTCCTCCCGAGAAGACCCCTCTGGGGGTGGATGTGGAGAGTTATGTTGTGATTTGTGTGGGGCTGGCTTTGGTGGTCTCATCCTGGCATTTAAAAAAACGTGAAGGGTGCATCCCTTTGTGACTGCCGTCACTTTTCCCTGGGAGTCCCCACAATGCCGGTGTGACTGCTGTGTGAGGGCTTTGGAAGCCCATCCCAGGGAAGAACAAGGCTTTGCAGGAGGCAAGAGATGCTGTCTGAAGACTACGGGAATGAAATCATCATAGAGGTTGAGAATGTTCCATCCGGGGTCCAAAGCCATCCATCCTCAAATCGGATTTGTCAAGAAAAGGCACTGGTTAACTCAAGCTTCAGCGTGGTTTCATCACTATCTGACATCGACGTGACAGACTCTCAGGTTTTCTGCAAAAGGAATGACAGAAAGGGCAACCGGTTGTTACGGTTTTCAACATCTCTGAATGAGTCGATTTCTCAGACCCTTCACAGCCCAGAATGCATGGGCGCGGACACGCCCTGTTCTTCACGTGAAACCATTCAAGGTAGTAAAACCCCGGGGAAGAGGAGTTAGGGAGGTGGCCAAGAAGGCTTCCAAGTTGTCCACCAGGTTTTTTACTTTTAAGACATCTAGTAATGTGGAATGTTTTGTAGGTGAACTAAGGACCCTGGGGACGAAAAAAGGGACCACTTTGAGAACTTCCTACTAACAAGAGCTTATTTTGATCAAGCTTATTTCATGCACCTGCTTTTTATTATCTGTCATGTTTAATATTGTTTACTACCCACACTCTGCACCTTTGAGGCAGGCACTTCCATTTGCTTGATGAGGAAATTGAGGCTCAGAGAAATTCAGTGACATGGCAGATCTGGGACCCAAATGCAGGTCTGCCTGATTCCCAGGCCAGAGTCCTTAGCCACTGTACTGTCCCACTTTGGCTGGATTCCTCCTCATCTTGGCTCAGGCAACATAGATAGCTAGGACACCTCTTGCTGCCAACTCCATCAGGAAACCAGGTCTCAGCTGAGACCTCCTAGCCTCTCTGCTCCTAACGCCAACAGACATGATGTTCCTGTTTTACTTCCATAATATTCCAGACATAATGTCTAACAGCTCCCAGTGATTTCTGGGAGAAGAGAAAAATCCCAGAGAGTTTAGCTCCTTTGCTGAAGAAGGTTGGGGCATCACTTCTCGTGCTGCCGTCTCCCTACATCTCTGTTTTCCCCTCTTCCCCTCTTCTTTCTTCCTCTCTGTCTACTCATCCTTCCTGCTCAGGAGAGACACAAATTCCTCATATGTCCAGCAGAGTGACGTGGTGGCCCTCTTTGAGGGCGTTCCCTTCCACCTCAACCATATCATTAAAATGAATGCGGTACTTCCTCATGGGGTTTCCAGCTCAGTGCTGTGTACAAGGAGCCAGCCTGCTCCCTCTGTTCCTCAGCCACCTCCAGCACGTCACTGCCCCCTGGACCCCAGCTGGCTTCCCTCCTGGTACAAGACGGTGACGGCGTTCCAGGCTTGATGTGCAGACACAACGATATCCAGAGGAAGAAGGACCTGTCTTTTTCTTGCTTTTTGCTTTTTTGGAGAAGGAAGAATGCTTTTCCAAGAAACTTCTCAGCAGACCACCCCTCAGAGAACATTGGCCAACACTGTGTCACGTGCCTGTGCTGAAACCAGTCACCTGCCCGGGGGGACAGGACTACTGGGATCGGCTTAGACTCACTGAGACCTGCTCCTTGTGCCTGGAGATGGGCCTGCCCCCAAGGAAGCTCAGGGCCATGTGAGAGAGGAGGTAGATTCCTAAACACAATTGGGATTCTATTAACAAGGAGGGAGTGACTTTGGGGTATGTGACCAGCAGCATCTGCCACCACTGACCGAAAATGTGAATGTGAGTTAGTGGGAGAAGAGAAGGGGGTCCTTGCAGGTAGGTGTAAGAACATATAACAATAGTCAAGGAATGTAAAAAAGCACCTGGGGCTGGGTTCAGGGGTAAAAAGAAGTGATGTGGGATAGTAAAGTGAGAGCGAAGGGGCAGGCTGACCAAACATGCAGGATCTTGTTGGCTTTGCAAAACGTTTTTTTGTCACAGGAAAGAGAAAACTATTGACTGAAATAGAGTGCAACCATTATCATTTGCTGTAGCTTTGAGCTTTAGCATGTATGTATGTCTTTTTATTGTTTTTCTCTGTGATCTTTGGGATCCCCGAGTCCACATATTCTTCTTTCCTTGTGCTCTTATAAAAATACTCTCTAACTTCAGCACCATATTTTAAAATGTTATGATTCTGTTAAAGAAAAAAGAAATGACACTCCATTTATTCTCCGCCCCCCCTCCCCGCTGCAGGACAAAAGTTAATCGCATCTCTGATACCCATGACATCCAGAGACAGAATTAAAGCCATCAGGAACCAGCCAAGAACCATGGAAGAGAAAAGGAACCTTAGGTATGGATGGAAGCACTTTCTTCTTTCCCAGATTTTACATGAACCTCAATCTTCTACTTTTGCCCCATCTCAAAGAGATAAGAAATGAATAAATGTAAGAGAAGAGACAAATCTTCCTTTCAGAAGGATTTCAAATAATCTATGTAGGTACTCCTCTTTCTAGGAGCAGGGGCTTAATTCCCACCCTGTGGCTGGAGTGTGGGCTGAGCTTGGTGTCTTGCTTCCAAGGAGTAGAGTATGGAAGGAAGGGGAGTAACTTTCCATTGGAGAAGTCTGGCTAACACTGCATCGGCCAGGTGCCCCAGGTTAACGTCCCCAAAGATAAGCCATTTGATGAGAAGGACATGTCCCCTCTGTAGTATTCTCTCCTAAAACCGATAACTCCAGTCAAAACAGGGAAAAACACTAGGCAAATCCCAACCGAAGGACATTCTACAAAATACTCCTTGAAACTGTCCAAGTCATCAAAAACAAGGAAAGTCTGAGCAACTGTCCTAGCCTAGAGGATTCTAAAGAGACGTGACAAGTAAATGCAAGGTGGTGTCTGGATGGGGTTCTGGAATAGAACATGGACATTGGTGGGAAAAATAGTAAAATCTGAATAACCTGGAGTTTAGGTAGCAGCAATGTACCAATGTCGGTTTCTTAGTTTTGATGAACCTGCCGTGGAAAGTGAGTAGTATATGGGAACGCTCTGTAATGCCTTTGCACCTTCATGGTGAATCTCAAACTATTCTAAAATAAACAGTTTACTTAAAAAAAAAAAAAGAAGAAGAAGAAGAAGAAGAAGACTATAGGAGATTTCTAAGTCCAGAAATTCAAAAACAAGTGTGAGGGCTGTTTTAGTCCTCAGATGTTACATTAATTGTTCCTCAATCTTTTTCTTTTTCCTTTTTGCAATTTGTAATAGTTGGCAGAAACTAGCAGAATGGAGGCAACAATGGCTAAGAAATGATTCAAGGATTTAGTTTTTCCTGAGGTTTCAAAGATGAATTTGAAAGCCTGGCAGGGATTTGTCAACGAGTAACTCATGAATGGCCGAAAGAAAGTCAGGCCCAATCAAGGTGGAAGGAGATTGCAAGGGGAGGATTGCAAAAAGGTCTGGTCTGCCCCAATCTTCTGGGGCAAAACAGGGGGTGGGGAGATTTGAGCTGAGCTTTGAAAGACGGGGAGTGGGATGGTGGGCATTTGAGGTGGACCAAAGAAAGCCAGGAAGGACCAGAAGGAAGTACATGTGGCGAGTTCATGGAAGGATAACGACACCAACTGTGACTGTGTCTTTCTCAAAACGCTCTTCCGTTTCAAACTCTGCGTGGCTCCTCTGTCACGGAATAAGGGCACCAAAGACCTTACAGTAGGATTTCTCAACCTCAGTACAATTGACGTCATAGTGCCACTGTGGGGGCTGTCCCATTCCTTGCAGGGTGTTTAGCAGCATCACTGGCCCCTACCCAGTAGATGCCAAAGCACCCCTCTGCCAGTTTGACAACCAAAAATGTTTCCAGGTATTGTCAATTGTCCCCTAGGGGGCAACATCGTCCCAGGTTGAGAACCACTGACTTACAGGGACAGCCCTCTCCCCCACGTTATCATTCCTATCTTCCTATTCTCCCTTTGCTCATTCCTTTCCAGCCTGGCCTCCTTGCTGTTCTGACCCCGCGTGGGGCTCTGTGTTGGCCATTGCATATGCACGGGGCATTGTCTTATCCATACGACCAGTCCCTCCTCTCCTTTAAACCAGGGTGATGCTCAGATATCACTATATGTCAAATTTTAATACTGTCTCCTCACCATTATTTCTCATCTCTTTACTCTGATGTTTTTTTCTTTTTCCTTCTAATGCTACAAATCACCTTCTAATATACTATACAGTTTACTCGTTTTATTATCATGTTTATTTGTTGTCTTTCTCTTCCAAAGAGGATGTTGGCTCCATGAGCCAGGGAAATTGCTCTCTTACCGCCTGGAACCATGCCTAGCACATCATAGGTGCTCAGTGACTATTTCTTGAATGAATGGATTACAGCATTGGTATCTCTCATCTCCTGCTTTTGCCCACAGGAGAATAGTCGACAAAGAAAAAAGTAAACAGTCAAATCGTATCTTGAAGCTCAATTGCTGCACTCAGTGTCTACACTCCATTTCACGGGTAAGTCGGCCTTTATTGCAGTCAGGAAAATGGGCACAAGAAGAAGGTGGAAACAGGGAAGGAGGAGACTGAAGGGAGAGGGGACCCAAGGGAAAGAGGAATCGAAATTCAGGGCGATTTCATGGCCCAGAGCCATTGGGTCTGGAGCGGTGTGAAGAAGCGAGGTGGGCAGTGTGTGTTGGCCAACTTGGCCATCGTGAGGGGCACCTTCTTTGACAAGCAAACCTGGGAAGTTAATAATGGCACCACCTTAGATGGTAGTCAAGAGGATTGAATGAGATACCATTTGTAAAAGTGCTTAGCACTGTGCCTGGCACATCATAGTGCTCTAGAAACGGCAGCTGTTTTTGCTATTAGGGTACCTGCTCAGTAGACGTTTGTTGAGTGACTATTAAGCCATCCACTTTGCATCCCGACTCCAGGCTTACCAGAGATCCAAGAACAGCCTGTCGGAATTCCTCAATACCATCAGCCTGTGGCAGAAGACTCTCAAGATCATCGGAGGCAAGTTCGGAACCAGCGTCCTCTCCTATTTCAACTTTCTGAGGTGGCTTTTGAAGTTCAACATCTTCTCGTTCATCGTGAACTTCAGCTTCATCGTAATCCCTCAGCTCACTGTGGCCGAAGAGAACACCCTCCAGTTCACTGGGCTGGAGTTTTTGACTGGGGCAGTAAGTTCTCCACTTCCCTGACCTCCCAGTTCACCGGCTCAGAAACCCAGGGACATACCTTGCTGGTCACCCACTCAGACCTCTCATTTTGCCTGGGGGTCTATGGATGGGGAAAGTGGGTGTTTAAAATGTTTTTCCCCAAAAATAATATATACACATCCTAGTAGAATTTCTGTCTCCAGAGGTAACTACTGTGAACAGTCTATGCTGTTGTCCACACTGCTCTTTTTGCACACATATGGACACATCTATGCATGTACATGGATGTCCTTTTCTTTTCTCACAAAAGATGAATTATTCATTATGTCTTGTCTACAACCTGCTTTCTTTCACCTAACAATATGTAGTAGACATCCCATGCTAGTGCTCGTAGATCTTTGTTTTTTTTTTTTCCTTTTTAATTTTTATCTTTACAAAATACAATGCTCCTTTTGAAAAATTCCTACTATGGAAGAGAATTAAGAGAAAGTCCATCTTACCTTCCTTCCCTTGTCCAACTCCCCGGTTTCAGATGTATCTTCGTAGACTGTTTTTCTTCCCATACAAACACTGATAGATAGATAGATGATAGATAAATAGATGATAGATACATAATCATTGTTTTAAAAATAAAAAAAAGATAGGATTGTACTGCAAGTCTTATTTTGCAACTTTTTTTAGCTCACTATATATCTTGAACATTTTTATACATCCACATTATTCTTTTTTAACTGCAACTGTAATTTATTTACCCAGCTCCCTATGGAAGCATATAACCCCTGCCTTGTGAGTTTAACTTCGTGAAAGGATTTCTGCCACTGCGATGCTATAGAGCAGATTCTATAACCACAGCCCGAGGGCCAAATCTAGCCTGTCTCCTGATTTTGTATCCTGAGAACTGAGATTGGTTTTTACATTTTTAAGTTGTTCAAAAAGATTCAAAAGAAGGACAACATTTTGTGAAACAAAAATGATATGAGATTGAAATTTCAGTGTCCATAAATGAAGTTCTTTTGAAACAGGGCCACAGACATTTGTTTATGTATCGTCCATACTGCTTTCACGATATAACCGCAATAACTGATGCAGCAGACACATGACCCACAAAACCAAAGATATTTACTATCTAGCTCTTTATTGAAAAAGTTTGCCAATACCTGCAGTAGAATGTTCAAAGTAGGGTTCTTCCATTTGTCTTTTTTTTCTTTTTCTCTTAAAAAAACTTTCCTTGAGTAGATGCATTAAAATGGAATTATTGTGTAAATTTTCTCCTTCATTTTTTCTCATTACTATGTTTCTTTTATATATTTGTATATAGGGAGCATTTTATTAGGAAACACTTCAAACATACAGAAAAACAAATAGCAGTAAAATAAACACCCAGGTACCCACTATGTAGATTTTAAATTGCCATATTTATCTTATTATTTTTGGAAGCATTGTAAGATAAATTACAGACATGAGGACATCTTACTCTGAAATTCTTCAACATGCATTTCTGAAAAATAAGGACACTTTTCTGCAGTCACAGTACCATTATCTGCCTAATGAAATTAAAAATTAATATCATCTGAAATCCAGACCATATTCAAATTTTCCCAACTTTCCACAAAATGTTTAATAATTTTCTTCTTCAGACCAAATTCGAGCAAAGACCAGATTTTTGCATTCTGTTGTTTTTCCTCCTTACACCTCTATTAATCTAGAATAAGCTTCCAGTCCTGGCACCCCTGCTCCCCTGACAGTGGCTTGTTATAGAAACCAGACCAGTTCGTCCTGTAGTTTCCAGCGTCCTACCTTCTGGAACTGTCTGATTATTTCCTTGTGTCTCTCTGATTTGTGTCCTGTGAACAGAAATGTAGACCGAAAGGTTTGATTCGTTTCCTACTAAGCATGTTTGGCCATAATACTCAACAGGTGACAGAGGCGCGTAATGCCCGGCTGTCCTGCTCTTGGTGAGGTTGCGCTTGGTCGCTGGGTGCAGGTTGTGACAGCTGGATGTCTCCATTGTGAAGTGATGTTGTTTGGGGTTCCTTCCCAGTCTGAGAGCCAAGTGATAAAAAGTCTATGATCTCAGTGGCCTTGGGTGTCCTTTCATGGAAAACTAAACATCTAAACTAACTGGCCCAAGTTTCTTGCATTCAGAAGAGGTCAACTCTGTCGACTGTAGTCACTTATCATTTTTTCAAGCGATCCACCTAACCCAGGGTTTATTGTCCCTTTCAGGGTTATTTTAGGGACACGGTGATGTACTACGGCTTTTACACCAACTCTACGATCCAGCATGGGAGCAGCGGGGCATCCTACAACATGCAGCTGGCCTACATCTTCACAGTCGGAATTTCCTTGGTCATCTGCTTTTTCAGTTTGCTGTTCAGGTAAGGGGTGTCTGCCTCTCCTGATTCTGGGGCTCATTTCAGATTTAAGCAAAAATCCAAGAAACTCAAAAATTACCCAGGAAACGGTTTCTGTGCAATTTTGGCTTTCTATGCCTTGTCCTGGAACACAAAATAGGAGTTTGGAAGAGAGGTTTCGTGTGCTCTTAAAGGAATGGCTCAGTCTGCAAATACAGATGTGATGACCCAAGCAATGATAAGGACAGAGGATATGACAGACAGTGTCAGAGAGGAGGAACAGAGGGAAAATACACGTGTGAAAGATGTTCAACCTCTGTGTTAGTGTGCTGGGGTGCAAAGCACCGCAGACTGGGGGGCTTAAAGAACAGAAATTTATTTTCTCACAGTTCTGGAGGCCAGAAGTCCAAGATCAAGGTGTGGGCAGGGTTGGTTTCTTCTAAGGCCTCTCTTCTTGGCTTGTAGATGGCACCTCCTCCTCCTCCTGGTGTCTTTACACAATCTTCCCTCGGTACGTGTCTGGCCCTAATCTCTTCTTATAAAGATACTGTTCATATTGGATTAGGACCCACTTTAATGACCTCATTTTAAGCTTAATTATTGCTTTAAAGACCCTGCCTCCAAATGCAGTCATATTCTGAGATACTGGGGGTTAGGGCTTCCACATATGGACTTCAGGAGAGACACAATTCCACCTGTAACCACCTCACTGCCAGCATGTGAATTCAAACTAAAATGGGATTTCGTTTTGTCCTATGGAACTAGGAAATGTTTCTTAAGCTGCTGTTACTGAGTGGTGGCAAATTTGAAAACAGCAGCATCCATTCTATTCAGCATTTATTAATTATGTGCCAGGCTCGTGCTAAGTGCTTGCTGAGCCTGAGGTATCCCATAATAATAACGGCTACCTTTATCAAATGCTTGCTGCTTTAAGTGCCGAACTGACTTCTGCGGAAGGCTGAATAATCTCCCCCCACTGCCCAAAATATCCATGTCTTAATTTCCGGAACCTGAAAATATGTGACTTTACGTGGCCAAGAGATTTTGCAGATGTGATTAAGTATCTTAAAATGGGGAGATGATCCTGGGTTATCCAGATGGTCCCAGTGGAACTGCAAGAGTCCTTATGAAAGGGAGGCAAGAGGTCAGAGAGAGAGATGGAAGAGGCTACTCCGCTGGTTTGAGGATGGAGGAGGTGGCCACAAGCCAGGGAATGCAGGCAGGTTCTAGAAGCTGGAAAAGGCAAGGAAATGGATTCTCCTCTGGATTCCCCAGAAGGAACACAGCTCTGCCGGCACCTTCACGTTAGCTCTGTAAGACCCGTTTTCTGACTTCTGACCTCCAGAAGTATAAGATAAATCTGTGTTGTTTTAAGCCACTAAGCTGGTGGTCATTTGTTACAGCAGCTATAGCAAACGAATACCATTCTCATAATAACTCTGTGAGGTGAGTACTGTTGTTATCTCCATTACACAGACGGGGAAACTGAGTCTCAGAATAGTTAATAGGACAAAGATCCCTCAGTTGCCAAATCCAGGATGGCAAGCCAGGCCTGACTGATCCCAAAGCCAGTGCTCTTAACCAGTATGCTGTGACCACATGCTCCACGCGAAACTTGGGGCTGACTCTTCCATGTTGCCTTTCACCATTAACGACGGGACTGTCCTTTGTTTAACCCCTGCACTCCCCAACGCCTGCCATAATAATCCTTGGGTGTCTTGGTTTCTGCCTTCCCTAGCATGGCCAAGTATTTCCGGAACAACTTCATTAACCCCCACATTTACTCCAGAGGGATCGCTAAGCTTATCTTTTGCTGGGACTTCACTGTCACTCATGAAAAAGCCGTGAAGCTAAAACAGAAGAATCTCAGCACTGAGATAAGGGTAAGGCAAGGTCACGCTACCCAAAGTCTTCCTTCAGCCAGTATCCTTCCCTTGTCCAATATGTCTGTAACTTTTCTTCAAGTAATAATGAATTATTGTTTTAATTGCCCATGAGACTGACAAAAAATTTAAAATAGTCACAATGCCTCGTGCTGGTGAGGATGTAGGGAAATGGACATTTTCACATCACATGGTGGCTTTGTAATTGGTGCAACCTTTCTGGAGGTCAATTTAGTGATTTATATCAAACCAGTAAATGTACATGCTTCTTGACTCCACAGTTCCAGGTTTAAAATTTTACTCTATGCCAGGCATGATAGTTCATGCCTATAATCCCAGCACTTTGGGAGGCAGAGGTGGGAGGATCACTTGAGGCCAGGAGTTGACCAGCCCGGGCAACAGAGAGAGACCCTGTCTCTACAAAAAAATAAT